TATGGATATACACACACACAGAAACACACATATATATAAGTATATTTATGTGTGTGTGTGTGTGTGGGTGCGGGAGTATCTGTGTATGCGTGTGTGTGTGTGAATGTATGTGCTCAACTTTTCTTTAATCGACTGACCACAATGTTCCCCAGGAGTCGTCGATAGAGTATTTTTCTATAACAAAATGGCGTATATAATGAGGCCAATATATACATATATGTGTGTGTGTGTGTGTTGATAATAATATGAATGGTAAAGATAACAATAATAAGCATGAGAATAATTTTAAGATATGAAAATTAAAAATGATGATAATGATAATAATAACAATAATAATGGTAATAATGATAATAACAGTGATATTAATGATAATAATAATGATATTGATGATAATGATAGTGATGATGATTTTCATAGTCAAGATGATAATCATAATAATGATAATGATAAATATAGTAATAATAATAATAATAGTAATAATGATGATTGTAGTGGATAATCAAAAACTCCGTAGAGTTATAGAGATGTTAATTTGGTAACGTGTTACCCAACTACAGGTAATCTCCAATGGGTTTGGCGTACTTCGGAGATGACTCTCAGGTGTTTTGAAAATGATCCCGTAGTCACAATAAAAGAACACTAAAAAGAACATTGGCTGACTAAAAAGGCAACATAAAAAGAGCAACCATATTATACATTTATTACGCACAAATCTTTTTGAACATAACCAACGACAACACACCATACACTTACTTGATACACAGAGGCAACTCGCCACAGCACGAGAAGCACCAGTCAGCCAGCTAAAAATCCAACGATCTGTCACCACACAAGATAAAGCCTCCCTCTCTGACCGTCCTGGCTTGCCCTTTTATGCTGGTGGCTTCCCGCGCTCGATGAGGTTTTACCCATAATGCATTTCATTTAATTTATTAAATAGTGTATGGCGAGTTAAAAATAATCTTTAAAATACATAAAATAAAAAGAATAATAAAACTATACAAAATGGGCACATAAAAGAAATAATAGACAGGAAAGTATGAAAACGTGAAAGAAGGGATCCGTGAGGGAAAACGGGAAACACGAAGAGAGACAGAGCTAAGGTGAATTAGTCGAAGGCAAAAAGGCAAGAATAAGACAAGGTAAGTATAGTGTTACGTATAGTAGAAGTAGTGTAGATGTAGATGTAGATCACGGACCAATGAAAGGTAGGTCAAAGAGTATAAAAACACAGGTTTATTCTTATAAAGACAAAGGCAAACAAACAGGAAAAACATGAAAAGCACGTCATCTTGCAGGGCGGAGGAGTCCGTAGATTATCTATACAGATTCATAATCGTCAGGGGAACAGGCGGCCTGGAAGCCTGCGGGAGGACCCGCCTGAAGCTAGGGAAATTCACTACAATAATAATGATAATAACAATGATAATAACACTAATGAAAATTATCAAATAACAACAATGCTGATAATGATAATAATAATCGCAATAGTAACAATGAGATAATGTAAGTAATAATAATAACGATAATAATGATAACAGTAACTATAAAACCAATAATGGTTATAGTAATAATAATACTGATAAAAATTATCATAATCGGAGTGATAATAATAATAATAATAATAATAATAATAATAACGCCAATAGTAATGATGATGATAATTAAAATGATAATAACTAATGGGATCCCTGGAAATTCCACGGAACAAAAAGTAGGGAGTACTCTTCTCTCACTCCTTCACCTCCTATTTCCGCCTCCCTTCTTCGTTTTCCTTTCCCTTTTCTCCTTCCCTGTCCCACTATCTCTCCTTTTCCTACCTTACCACCCTCTCTCACTCCCTAATCCTTCTTTAATTTATTCCTCCCTTCACCCTAAATTTCTTCCCTCCCACTTCCCTCCTCTTTGTCACTGAACTCCCCCCCAAACCCCTTCACTTCTGTATCTCTTTCCCTCCCTCTGTCAGCCATCCTTTTCTCTCTGAGCCCCCTCACACTTCCCCCTCCCTTTCCCCTTACCTATCCCCTTTTCCTCTTTGAAAGCCCTTTTCCCATCTGTTTCCCCTTCTCCTTGTCCATGTTCTCTTTAAACCTTCTTCCCTCCATTCCTCCCTCTCCTCCCTTTCTTCTCCCTCGTCCTTTCCCCTTCCCCTCGTACCTTCCTTTTAAACCTCCCCCCTTCGAATATCGTGTGAAATAATAAATGTGTAAACTGACGGTCTAACAACTTTTATACAGTGTACTTGCCTGGAATAATGATGATGATAGTAATGACTATGATAACAACAATAAGAATAATAATGATAATGATACCTGTTGTTTCCCTCTGTTTCAACCATTCCGCTTTTGTTTCAACTTCACTGCCTCCTTATGATAATAAGGAGGCAGTGTGTGTGTGTGTGTGTGTGTGTGTGTGTGTGTGTGTGTGTGTGTGTGTGTGTGTGTGTGTGTGTGTGTGAGTGAGTAAAGAGTGTAAGTGGGAGGGTGGGTGAGTGGGGAAGTGTGTGTATATGTGTGTGTGAAGTGTTTATGCAATGAGTCTTTGAATTATTGTTCTGCATAATTATATATATATATATATATATATATATATATATATATATATAATATATATATATATATATATATATATATATATATATATATATATATATATATTTATAATAGCAGATGATATTTCTGATTTAGTCATTATATCTCCCTTATTTTTTCGTATGTCCAATCTAGTTTAAGATTCTGATATATGCCTCTGCCATTGGGGATTATGCATTAGTTTCATCTC